TCCTTCCTTTTCTATTTCCTCTCCCTTCCTTCTTCCTTTCTTCCTTCCTTTTCTACTTCCTTTCTTCCTTTTCCCTCTCCTTCCCTCTTTCCTCCCTTCTTTTTCTCATCTCCTTCCTTCCTCTCCCTACCCATCTCCTTCGTTCCTTTTCTATTTCTATTTCTCTCCCTCCCTCTCTCCTTCCTTTCTTCTTTCCTTTTTCTTCCTTCCTTCCTTTTCTCATCTCCTCCCTTCCTCCCTCCCTCGCTTCAACGGTGTGGCCTGTTCTCCCCACACACCCACAATTCAGCACTCACAACTGAAGCCCTTTTCACAGGGGGGTCCACGCTGCAGCCAGCGTTCTTTCAGAGAAAATAGGTGAAGAAGAAGAAGAAAGGAGTACAGTCCTCGGCTTACGACCACCCATTTAGTGATTGAAGTGACAACAGCATTGAAAAAAGGCACTTGCAACCATCCTCACACACTTGTGACCGTTGCAACATCTCTGCGGCCACGTTTAAAATTAGCAACTTGCATTTCTTACAAAGGTTACGGGAAGCCAGATTTGCTTAATGACTGCGTGATTCACTTAACAACTGTGGCAAAAAAAATAGGCGTGATTCCCTTTAACAACTGCCTCACTTAGTAACAGAAATTCAATCCCCCATTGTAGCTGTAAATCAGGAACTGGCTGGTATTAAGTACGTGTGCTTTTTAAAAAAATAATAAATTGACTTATTCACAGGCAAGTCCTCGATTTATGACCACAATTGAGCCCAAAATTTCAGTGGCTAAGGGACACATTCGTTAAGTGAGCGTTGCCCCGTTCTATGGCCTTCCTTGCCACCGTTGTTAAAGTGAATCACCCCCATTCCAAAGGGAGTCACATGGTTGCTAAGCAAATCACAAGTCGTTAAGCGAGTGATACGGCTGCTAAGTGAATCTGGCTCCCCCACAGGGACTTGGCTTCTCAGGCAGTCACCAAAATTGGATCGCATCACAAACATCCCCCTCCAGGGTCGTTGTGACCGTCATAAACGCGAGTCGGTGGCCAAGCTGATGAATTTTGAGTGTACCACCGACGGTCGCAAGTGTGAAAAACGGTTCCCTTTTTTCAGCGTCATTGTGACTTTGAACGGTCCCTCAACAAATCTTTTGCAAGTCGAGGACTTGCCTGGGAGCAAGGGCGGGATGCAAATAGGTTTTACTAACGGTTCTGTGGGCGTGGCCTGGAGGGTGTGGCCAGGAGGGCGTGGCCAGGTGACTGGATGGGCGTGGGTTTTTTTTTTTTTTTGCACACACACACACACACACACACACACACACCTCTGCTCTGTTTTTTGGCCTCCTGGGGATCAGGAGGCGAGGGGGATCCTGACACACAGCTGATCGTCGGAACAGCTGATCGTCGGAACAGCTGATCGTCGGGGGAGGAGGAATCCCTTAAGGAGCGACTGGGCGGGGGAGGAACCCAGTCAGCAGTGCCATGCATGCATGATATGGACTGACTGGGCGTGGCGAGGGGAGGGGCAGGCGGAGAGGGGCGGGGCCAGCCAGGGCCACGATTCGCTGGTTCTCCGAACTGCGCAGAAATCGTTAACGACCGGGTCTACTGAACCGTCCCGAACCTTTCCGTATCCCACCCAGCCCTACCTGGGAGCCCAAACGGAACAATAAACCCACCTACCATTTCAGCCACGTCTCCCCACTGCTCCGCGTACAACTCCGGAGGAAGGTTGTATATTCGCAGGGTGTTGTCGGCACTGTTGGTCACCAGGCAGGTCCCATCGGGGGCCCTGTAGAAAGGAGGAGAGGCGGGGGGTGGGGGTCAAAAGAGGGTCTCCCCCCAATTGGTGGAGGGCTCCCACTTGCGGCCCATCTCACAGAACGAGTTGGGGCTTTGTTTTTTTTCCAGCCACAAACTTGGGGAGAACGACAACGCAAAGGGGACTCACAAAGGGGAGTTGTGTTCCAACGCTTCTCCGCCTCAGCGTGCTTTAAGAGGGATGGACTTCAACTCCCAGAATGCCCTAGCCAGCAATGGGGAATTCTGGGAGTGGAAGTCCAGATGTCTTAAATCACATTGGCTGGGGAATTCTGGGCACTGAATTCCACCTATCATAAAGCATGCTAGCTGGGGAATTCTGGGAATTGAAGTCCACCCCTCTTAAAGCAGGCGGGCTGGGGAATTCTGGGAATTGAATTCCACCTATCATAAAACATGCTAGCTGGGGAATTCTGGGAGTTGAAGTTCACCCCTCTCAAAGCAGGCAGGCTGGGGAATTCTGGGAGTGGAAGTCCAGGTATCTTAAATCACACTGGCTGGGGAATTCTGGGCATAGAATTCCACCTATCAGAAAGCAAGCTAGCTGGGGAATTCTGTGAGTTGAAGTCCACCCTTCTTAAAACAGGCAGGCTGGGGAATTCTGGGAGTTGGTCCACTCCTCTTAAAGCACGCCGAATGGGGAATTCTGGAGATCCAGACAGCTTAAGTCAAATTGGCTGAGGAATTCCCGGAGCGGAAGTCCACCCCTCTTAAAGGGAATTAAACGCCACACACCTTAAAAGGAATTCTGGGAGTTGAAGTCCACCCATCTCAAAGCATGCTGGCTGGGGAATTCTGGGAGTTGAAGTCCACCCATCTCAAAGGATGCTGGCTGGGGAATTCTGGGAGTGGAAGTCCATCCCTCTTAAAGCACACTGGCTGGGGAATTCTGGGAGTTGAAGTCCAGATGTCTTAAATCACACTGGCTGGGGAATTCTGGGCATTGAATTCCACCTATCATAAAGCAAGCTAGCTGGGGAATTCTGGGAGTTGAAGTCCACCCTTGTTAAAGCAGGCAGGCTGGGGAATTCTGGGAGTTGGTCCACTCCTCTTAAAGCACGCCGAATGGGGAATTCTGGAGGTCCAGACAGCTTAAGTCAAATTGGCTGGGGAATTCCCGGAGTGGAAGTCCGCCCCTCTTAAAGGGAATTAAACGCCACACACCTTAAAAGGAATTCTGGGAGTTGAAGTCCTCATCTTTTAAAGGCGTTAAAGGTTGAGAAACACCGATCGACCCACAAATTCTGCCTTGGAGACCTCTATATACACCTTCCCTTCAGGAGTTTCTTACCTGCTTTCGACCGGAACCTGTGGGCTCCCCTGACCATCTGCTTGACCCATGGAATCCTTCCTTCCCCCATTTTTAACCCCTTGCCTCCTAGTTGTTCAGCTGCCTTTTTTTGACTTCTTTCGGCCTTCCTACCCCTCCATCGCTGCTGGGACCCGTCTCCCGGTCCCTGGGGGGTGGCCTTCCTCTGTCCAGTCCCACCCAAGGAGGAGAAGATCTCCTGCAGCAGGTTGGAGAAATCTCCATGTCTTAAGGAACAGCGCCAGAAAGAAGAACCAGCAGCCCAGATCCAGAACAAGGAGACTAAGAGGATCAACGTACGAAGGACGGCTGCAGGATTTGGGTTCGGACAGTCTACTGAAAAGAAGGATAGCACCTTCCAGTATTTGTGGGGGGGGGGGCTGCCCCAAGGAAGGGGGGGCAGGGTTTCCACCTATTCTCCGAAGCCCCAGAAGGCAAGACCGGAAGCAACAGGTGGAAACTAATCCAGGAGAGAAACAACCTAAAACTAAGGACAAACAACGAGGACGATTCACCAGTGGAACGGCTCGCCACCAGAAGCTGCGTGGGCTCCATCAATGGAGGTTTTTAAGAAGAGACTGGACAACCATTTTGTCTGAAATGGGGTAGGGTCTCCTGCTGGAGGAGGGGGTTGGACTAGAAGACCTCTAAGGTCCCATCCATTCTCTCGACGTGGGAAGGGCCCTTCGCTTCCAAAGACCCAGATAGCCCCACGGGCCCAACGAAAGAGCTCTCCAACGGCTACTTACCACTTGCACCCCTTCAGGTAGTTCTCCGGGGTGCGGCTGTACTCATCCCAGGAGCCGGTCAAAAGTCGGGGGGCCTCCACGAAGTCGTATGCTGGAAAGCTGGGAAAGAGAGGAGGCATACGCCGGCTGCATCGCGTGCGAACCCGACCTACAAGCTGCTACTAACCAATGCTATAAATACCGCTAACTCCTCTACTTTCCACTCGTTTGCCATCGCTAGCACTGATGATGTGCCCTAGTTGGGTCATGAAACATCTGCAGGGAAATAACCAAGCTCAGAGAGCGCTGAGGACCCCACAGCCCTTTTATTCTTCCTCCTCCTCCTCCTCCCTACAAATCCCACTCCTTTCTAGCACTGATTATGTTAGCTAGTTAGGTCATGAAAGGTCTGCAAGGAAACAGTTAAACTCAGAGGAGCACCCAACGACCTCCCAGTTCATTCGTTCGTTTCTTCGTTCCTTCCTTTCTCTCTCCCTCTCCTCCTCCTCCCTCCATTCTGCCAATCCCTTCTCTTCTAGCACCGATGACGTTCCCTAGCTGGGTTATGAAGTCTGCAAGAAAACAACCACGCTCAAAAGAACAAAGGACCCCACAATCCTTCCTCCTTCCCCTCTTCCTCATCCTCTCTACAAACCTCACTCCCTTCTAGCACTGATGACGTTACCTAGTTGGGTCTACAAGGAATATGTAGAGAGCTCCCAGGACCCTGCAGTTCTCGTCCTCCGCCTCTTCCTCCTCCTCCTCTTCCTCTTCCTTCTCCACCCCCATCGCCTCCCTGCTCCTTCTCTCCCCCTGCCTTCTAGCATTCATGATGTTACCTAGTTGGGTCATGAAACATCTGCAAGCAAACCCCCCAAGTTGAGAGAGCACCATGGAACCTACGGTAGGTCTTCCTCCTCCTCATTCTCTTCCTCTCTTTCTCTGCAAACTCCCCTTCCTTCCACCACTGATGAAGTTACCTGGTTGGGTCACATCTGCAAGGAAACCCCCTCCCCACCCCAAGCTCAGAGACCCCTCATTAAGCTGCCCTTCCCAGCTCCGACCTCAGAAACCACAGATCAGAAGACCCACAAAGTTCCTTCCAACCCTATTCTTCTACCCTGTTTCCCTGAAAATATGACCTACCCTGGAAGTCCTAGATTTTTACATATGCACCCAATATAAGCCCTACCCCCCCCCAATATAAGCCCTAATTTAAGATTCCGTAAAAATTAAGCTTGGGTGGGGATAGGGGGTGGAGCTGCCCTACTACTTACCTTCGGACAGGTGTAGCCAGGCCTCGCATACCCTGACACCTGCCTTGCCAGCCCATTTCTTTGGCAGCCGGCAAAGCTTTCCTGAAGGCCTCTGTGGCTGGTAACAGAGATCTGGATCGATCCAGAGTTATCGGCTCTTATCGGCTGCAGAGGCCTTCAGAAAAGCCTTGCCGGCTGCAGGAGGAGGACTTCCGGAAGGAGGCCGGGGGCAACGCGCGCAAGTGAGGTGAGCCAGTGTACGACATCGCCCCCAAATAAGACCTGATTGCCTTTTTTGGTGGGAAACAAAATATAAGTCAGGGTCTTATTTTCGGGGAAACCCAGGGCACGTCCATATCCAGGAGGATAAACCTATTCCGAGATCTTCCTTTCTCCAGGATAGACAAAGGCTCAATTGTCCTGTCTTAAACCGCAGCGTGTTTTATTCCTAAGACATGCAAGGACCCCAACTCACTAATATTCTCCTCCGTCAGTCCATGCGCCACTTTCTTCCACCCCTTCTTCCTCCTCCTTCTCGTTGTCCGGTTTTTCCTCGGAGTCCACCGCAGTGTCCCGGAAGCTGGATTCTTCTTCTTCCTCTCGAGAAAGTCCATGGACAGCTAGATCCGCCTCTTCCTGAGCTCCATTAAGTCTTGGCACTTTAGAAGTTGGTCCAGATGTTTCTCCAACTTCCCCACCGTTGCCGGTTAGCAGCAGCAAATCTGGCGTTACTGGATCCTCCACGGGGAATTCGGCGGCGTCCATCGGGAACCCTTCAAAGGGGTCTTCAAGACGACAGCCACTAAATGAGACTCTACTTGTTTATTCAAGTATTTATCCTGGTTAGAGTCAAAATTCCAGGTTCAACTTCAGTGGAAGGCAGTTTTAGTCATTCCAGTTTAAGAAGAAAACAGAGGCCAAGAGGAAGTGAGGTTTCTGTGGATTGGAAGAAGAAAAAAAAAACCCTCCAAAATATCAATTTTGTTCATTACATTGAAATTGTAGCAAGTTTATTCTGGGTCCAAGTATTCCAGACCACCGCAGAATTAATTTAGTAGCCAAGATAAAGATTTCCTTGTATTGGACAAAGCCAGGAAATTGACATGTAAAACCAAGATACTAGACTTTTGTAATAATACAGACAGTCCTTGAACTTACAACAGTTCATTTTGTGACCGTTGGAAGTTGCAACGGGACCAAAAAGTGTGACTTATGACCGTTTTTCACACTTACAACCGTTGCAGCACACACCTGGGCACACGATCCAAATTCAGACCCTTGACAACTGACTCATCCTTATGACGGTCGTTGTGTCACACGATCCCCATTTGTGACCCTCCGACAATCAAAATCAACAGGAAGAGCCAGATTCACTTTTAACAACCGTGTGACTAAGTTAAGAAGTACAACCATTCACTTAACAAAAAAGGTCGTAAAAGGGTGCAAAACTCACTATAAGAAATGTCTCACTTAGCAACAGAACTTCAGGGCTTAATCGTGGTCATAAGTCAAGGACTACCTGCACAGCCATCAAATTAATTTACAATAGAATGATTAATTTAATACATAATACAAATTAAGGGGTGTCTTTCATTACATCAGCAACTTTATGTATAAGTAAATTATTCAGTGAAATAAACCAAGGGATGTTCTTCATTTATGATTAATTTAATAAATAAGTTAACTTAAAGGGGGTGTCCTTCATTATATCAACAATTTTATGTATAAATTATTACAGAATTCAATGAAATAACAAACTAAAGGGGTGTCCATTCATTTATGATGATTAATTTAATAAATAATAAATTAAGGGGTGTCTTTCATTACATCAACAACTTTATGTATAAATTATTACACTATTCAATGAAATAACTAAGGGGTATCCCTCATTAATTTATGATGATTAATAAAATAAATACGGTAATAAATTAAGGAGTGACCTTCATTACACCAATAATTTTATGTATCATTGTAAATTATTACACAATTCAATTAAATAACTAAGTGGTGTCCACTCATTTATGATTAATTCAATAAAGGGATGTCCTTCGTTATATCAATAATTTTATATACCATAGTAAATTTACTACACAGTTCAATGAAATAACAAACTAAGGGGTATCCATTCATTCATGATGATTAATTTAATCAAAACCAATTAAGGGGTGTGATTAATTACACCAATAATTTTATATATAATAGTAAATTATTACACAATTCAGTGATATAACAAACTAAGGGTGCCTTCTTTGTTTTATAATTAATTTAATAATAAAGGTTGTCCTTCATTATATCAATAACTGTATATATCCTAGTAAATTTATTACACAATTCAATGAAATGACATGAAGGGGTGTCCTTCATTCATTTATGATTAATAAAATAAATATGGTAATAAAGTAATTTTATACATAATAGTAAATTATTACACAATTCAGTGATATAACAAACTAAGGGTGACCTTCATTCATTCATGATTAATGGAATAAATTATGGGATGGACACCATTACATCAATTAACTTCATGCATAATAATAAATAGTTCAATGAAATAACATTAATTTTGAATAAATGATCAACTTAATAAAATAATAAATTAAGGGCTGCACAACCTTAAAGCGATTTATAACAAGGAATTAATCCACCTGGTGAAATAATACATTAAAGTTGGCCACCCTTCAAATTAAGCCTCCTGAATCCTGACCCGACCGGGAAAGCATTGACACGCGACTGGCTAGGCGGGGGTCGACACGTGTCACCGTCGTAACGGTGCGAATGATAGGGCACGTGTAGAGTTGCGGAGCGCCATCAGAGGCGAGCTCCGGGCCTCCCCGCGGCAGCTTTCCCAGGAGGAGGAGGCGAAAGGCGGCCCGCCTTCTCCTTTCCTCCCGGAAGCTTCTTCCCCGCGTTGAGGCGATGGGCGGCGAAAGGCAGCCGCCATGACACTTCGGGCTCCGCCCCCTGGAGCCACGTCGCGTCTCGCGAGAATTGGAGGATTTCAGGCTCCGCGCCATCTTCCTGTGCATAGAGATAAGAAACCGAAGAGTAGACACTTCTGGAGATTTAAATTGTAACTTCCGGGTATAGTTTCATCTTGAAATTCCTCCTTAAATACCAGAGAGAATTAAATCTGAATTAATTAGTTGAACAAGCTCAAATTAATTACTTGAATTGTTGAATTAAATGAAAGAACTAAGTTATGATCACAACATTTCTGTTGCTAGGCGAGACATTTGCCAAGTGAGTTTTGCCCCATTTTATGACCTTCCTGGCCGCCATTAAGTGAATCACTGCAGTTGTTAAGTGAGTCACACAGTCGTTAAGTGAATTGGGCTTCTTTCCCCCCCACCCGGACTTGGCTCGATCAGAAGGTGAGACAGGGTTGTTAAGTAATCTTGCCCCCCTTTTACGATCTTTCTTTTTTATATATATATAAATTTTTATTGGTTTTTAAGACGAACATAGACAAACAAAACATAAAAACGTCAAGCCATCTTCCATATATATATATATATATACATACAGTGTGCCGGTTGGTTTACAAATTGTTTTGTGCTTCTATTTTGCAGTCTTCAATTACAATTACATTGTATATATTCTCATATTTTCAATCAAGTATTAAATAAATTAATATCATTGTTAATCAATCATTTGACTATACTTTTATTCATTCATTTTTTATGAAATAATCATGTTTTACTTAATTTGTTTTATGACAGTTCATATTATCATCTCAAATCTATCCTACAATCATTTGGTAGATATAATAAGAAAAGAATACATCTTTATATATTTATTATTTTCTAAGAATCTACATATTTCATTACCATGTTTTATTGTCTAACCATTGATAGACTAGATCCCAAATTTTATAAAACTGTTCATCCTCTTGTTCTCTGATTTCAAATGTCAATCTACTCATTTCAGCACATTCCAATATTTTCTTAATGATTTCCTCCTGTGATGGTATTTTCTCATTTTTCCAGTTTTTAGCAAATACAATCCTAGCTGCTGTTAATACATTTACAATCAGGTATTTCAATTCTTTACTATATATTTCAGGCTCCTTGCTGTCTCCTTGCTCACACAGCAAATACTGTTTCAGTTTCCAAACAGCCCTCAACTCTCTCACACTCTGACAGGACACTAGCCAGAGGAATTCCGATGGATGCTGGTAGGCAGAGGCAGATATTCCCCCCCCCCTTATTTTCCTCCCCCAAAACGAAGCCGCACCGTATGGTTTCGAAGGGAAGCACAGGGATCGAGCTAGTATTTTAATAAACTTGATCATTCAGTCGACTTTTATCCCCGAATGGATGAGCTAAATTTGAAAGAATAGCCTGTCTTGAAGCAGGGGGAGGGGGAATTACAAGTGGTCCTTGAGTTACAACGGTTCGTTTAGTGGCTGTTCAAAGGTCCAACGGCACTGGGAAATGAGTCTTACAACTGTTTTTCACACTTAACGACTATGGCAGCCTCTCCACGGCCACGCGATCAAAATTCTGGCGCTTGGCAGCTGGTTCATACTTATGACGGTTGCCGTGAGATCCCCTTTTTTGCGACCTTCTGACGAGTCGGGAAGCCAGATTTCACTGAACAACCGCGCGACTCCTTTCAGAACCGCAGTGATTCGCTTAACGACCGGGGCATGCAAGGTCATACGAAGCAGCAAAACTCATTTTTCTTGCTTAAGCAATGGAAATTTTGGGCTCCGTTGTGGTCGTAAGTTGAGGACCGGAGGTAAAATTTTCCAGAGGGGTGGGGGAAATGGCCATAGAGATATTGTGGGGAGGGGGGTGGGACAAAGAGAAGTGGGGTGCCTTCCATATTGTGACCTAGGCGGCTTTTTTCTGCCCAGGTTGTGTCTTCCACACATCCTCTCGAGTTGTTAGCTTGTTCTTGCCAGCCACAAATGTTGCACAACGCCACACTTGACATGCGGCCTTTCCCACACTTTCTGAGTGGAGGGGCTCCTCACACACCCCAGTTTTTCGGTTTTGTCCATCCGTTCGGTTTTCTTTTCATCCTAGGACTCGCCTAAGTCACCCGAGATGGGAAACCTATATAATAATTCTCCCTCATTCTCTTTTCTACACAACAACAGCCCTGCGAGATAGGTTGTGAGGCAAGAGGCAGACTGTCCCAAAGTCACCCGGCCAGCTTTCATGCCTGAGACAGAACTAGAACTCGCAGCCTCCTGGTGATTAGCCCAAAGTGACCCGACTGGCTTTTTATGGTGAAGGCACAACTCTACTACCTAACCAAGGTTACAACTAACCAGGTTTGCATGCCGTGGAAATGCCGATCTTGTGCCTTTAACAGACCCCTTGAAGAAGGCATGCGCCGTCTCACAGGGAGAGGATGACCCCAGTGGACAGAAGGACAGTGGCCTCTCACGTCCGGTGCCCACGAGGGACTCTTGGCCCTCTTCCAAGCAGGACAAGAGTCCCGTAACGGAGCCGAGTGCGAAAGAGATCTGCGCCCAAGAAGGTTAATTTGCAACAGGGAACAGCACGTCTGCAAGGCAGGGCCCCAAAAATAAAAATCCACAGTATGAAGAAACTGTGTTAAAGATCAAACTTGGACTTGTGACCTCCTTTAGATCAGGCCAGCTTGCCCTCCTCCCACCATCCGTGGTCATCGAGGGCATGCAACCAAGCGGAGAAGGCCGGCCAGTGACAGGTGGGCAAAGGTCAAACAAGGCCTTTAAAGGACCGACGTCCAGCAAAGGAACAACGGCAGGTTCTTCGAGACGTCTCCTGGCTACCATGAGCTTCCTCATCCGTCCTTGGGCCAAAAGGGACGTCTGGGATGTGATGCGGCTGGTGAAGGTGAGAAGCTGGACGGTGGAAGGGCAGAAGAGGGTCGGCGGGGGGTCTCAAGGGGGTCAGGAGGAAGGCGGGGGGGGGGGCCTGGGGATTGGCCATAACTTTGTTTTGGATTCCTGGTTTATGTGCCACGAATCCAAAGTGACCATCTAGAGGAGGTTCCTCAACCTTGGAGACTTTTTAAAGTTGGATGAACTTCAACTCTCAACGTCTTTGCTGGTGGTTGAAGACAAGTCCACCCAACTTAAAGTCGCCAAGGCGGAAAAACGCTGAGGTACTCGGGTCATGAAGATCTCTTTCCAATCTTCTAACGGTGTCTCCATCACCGCTGCCCCACAGTCCATCCGCCTTCCTTCTGGTTGTGCTCTCTTCTTATTCTTCTCTTCCACCTTTCCCACCATTACGGACTTCTCTGGAGATTGTATGGGTTGCCTTCATAGAAATTGATTGATGGATGGTGACCATCAAGGCAGTGTCAATTCTTAACAACCTCCTAGATGTTCTCCACAAAGATCTGTCTCCACCCTGGTCCTTCTGCTCTTCCAACGGTGCCTCCATCATCGCTATAGCTGAGTCCTTCACCCATACTGCTGGTCCTTCTAATCTTCTCCTTCCTTCCGATCTTATGGACTTCTCAAGATGGCTGGGTCTTCCCATGGATCGACGTTCTTCTGTCCGATCAGTTCTGATTGACCACGTAGAAATTCTCCTTGAAGATCTGTCTCCAACCAGATCGTTCGGGTCTTCTAACGATGTCCCCATCTCACTTCGGTTCATCCACCTTCCTTCTGATTGTCTTCTTCTCTTCTCTTCTCTTCTCTTCTCTTCTCTTCTCTTCTCTTCTCTTCTCTTCTCTTCCCTTCCACCTTTCCCACCGTTATGGATTTCTCTCAAGGTTGCATGGATTACCTCAATAGAAATTGATTGATTGATAGTGACAGTCAAGACAGTGTCAACTCTTAACAACCTCCTAGAACACTTGTCTCCACCCTAGTCCTTCAGCTCTTCCGACAACGCCCCCATCTCCAGTAGGGCTTGAGTTCCTCCACTTTCCTGGTCATCCTCCCCTTCTTCTCTTTCTTTCCATCTTCCCCAGTAAGGAGAGCCTTGACTTGGGGTGGATGGATGGAGTTGAGTGAGCAAGAAGACCCCATCTTGGTCTTTTCCTACTGTTGGAGAAAAGTTGATAAGACTTTTTTAAACAAAGAAGTGGTTGTCTGAAGTTGAGGACAGATGGAGAAGGCAAAGAGAAATGGACTCTGTTTTGGAATCTCCCCGCTGCAGTGAGACCCCAGAGAAGATTCCAGAACGTTCTGATCCACTCATGAGTGTTTCCATCATTTTCAGGAACTGGCGGTGTCTCACAACGCACTCCACCAGGTGACAACTTCTCCAGAAGGTAAGAAACACCTGCCACCATCTTCAGGATGCAAAGCAAAACTCAAAAAAAAGTTTTTAATGGACCCAAATACGGGCAAGTCCTCTTCTTATGACCATAACTCTGCCCCAAATTTCTGTGGCTAAGCAAGACAGTGAAGCGAATTTTGCTCCTTTTCGTTATCGTTCTTCCCACCCCCCGTTGTTAAGGGAATCTCTGCGGTTGTTAAGGGAGTCACACGGTTGTTAAGTGAATCCGGCTTCCCTGTGGACTTTGCTGGTCAAAAGGTCGCAAAAGGGGATCATGTGACCCCAGCGCACTACAAACCGTCATAAATACCTTGTTTCCCTGAAAATACGACCTACCCCGTAAGTAAGTCCTAGCTTAATTTTTACATAGGCACCCAATGTAAGCACTACCCCCAAAATAAGCCCTAATTAAGATCCCGCCTACTCCAAAGTGCATGGGTAAAAATTAAGCTAGGGTGGGAATAGGGGGGTGGAGTTGCCCTACTTCTTACCTTTGGACAGGTGTAGCCAGGCCTCGCATACCCTGACACCTGCCTCGCCAGCCCATTTCTTCTGCAGCCGGCAAGGCTGGCAAGGCTTTCCTGAAGGCCTCTGGAGCTGATAATAAAGCTCTGGATCGATCCAGAGCTCCGTTATCGGCTGCAGAGGCCTTCAGGAAAGCCTTGATGGCCACAGAAGGAGTTGATGAAAGCCTCTGGTCGTGAAAAGGAGGCCGGGGGCAATGCACGCAAGTTGTCAGGATTCTGGGCGATTGCCCGAATAAAATCACGAGCCTCAAGCCAAGTTTCACAAGAATCCAAAAGATTTATTAGGACTAACTTGTCAGCCTTAACTTAAATGAAGCCAACTCCGGCATAGTAATTTACTGTCACCCGTGACCCTGTTTCCCCATGGGTGTGTCATCCATCACGTTCTCCAATGAAGGATTTTCCCGGGCAAAAGATCCGGTAGCCTAGGCTACAATCTTTGTAAGATATGTGTGGAATGTACTTCTGGTTTCCTACTCCCCTCTCTACGTATGGCAACTCGAAAACAGGCATAGGAATTCTTTACGAATTGACATGTGAGGTTTGTCCATGGATGACTTCCCCCGAAAATAAGACCTGGTGCCTTTTTTTGGTGGCAAATATCTATATCTATATCTATATCTATATCTATATCTATATAAAACAGGGTCTTATTTTCGGGGAAACGCAGTAGGAACCAGTGGCCAAGAATCTGAGTTTTGATCATGTGATGCAGCAACGGTCGTAAGTGTGAAACATTATCAGAGTGTCTTTTGTTAGTGCCCTTGTAACTTTGAAGGGTCATTAAATGGTTATAAGTCTATCTATATGGGACACAGGCAGGCAGAAGTGCAACAGGTCAAACTTCTCCTTTCAGTAGGGTATCTCTTGAGAGAAGAACAGTGTCTCTTAGCTTGCTCCCAAGCTTGCTCCTCGACTTATAACACTTCATGTAGTGACTGTTCCAAGTTACAACAGCATTGGAAAAAAAAGCAACATAACCATTTTTCAGCCTTACGACTGTAAGCACTGAGTCCTATTTATGACTGTCGTAGCATCCCGGGGGTGGGTGGGTCACGTGATTCCCTTTGGCGACCTTGTGATGAGCCACATCCAATTCACTTAAGGACCATGTTCCTCCCTGAACAACCGCAGCGATCCGGTGAACAACAGTGGCCAAGAAAGGTCATAAAACGAAACTTTCCTTGATTTGTCTCGCTCCGCAGCAGAAATCTGGGGCTCCGTTAAGTCGAGGACTAGCGGTAGGGTCTCTTGCTTGGGCAGGGGGTTGGACTAGATGACCTCCAAGATCCCTTCCGACTCTGTTATTCGGTTAAAATCAGTTAACGTGGTAATCTCCAGAACAGGTCCCAGCAAATCCTTGGATTCTCTCTTTCAATTAAAACTTTTTTATTGGTTTTATCAAAGTATTAGCTCGATCCCCGTGCTTCGCTACGAAACTATGTGATGAAGCTGGAAAGGAAGATAAGGGGTGGGTGGGAAATTCTGACTCTGCCTACCAGCATCCATCGGTATTCATGTGGCTAGCGTCCTGTCAGTGTGTGAGAGAGTTGAGGGCTGTTTGGAAACTGAAACAGTATTTGCTGTGTGAGCAAGGAGACAGCAAGGAGCCTGGGCATGGCTTAGCTCAACTATTCTGTACTAAAGCTGCTTGGTGCTGTGAAAGTGAAACTCCTCTGCTTGTGTTTTGCATTTGGAAGAGATTTCTTTCCCGGTGGAGAAGGGGAGTAGAACTCCTTAGCATCAGAGCCTGTTAATAATAATACAGGATAATAATAATAATACTCTAAATGCTCTGAGGGTCATTTGGGAAAATCCTTTCTTAGGGAGCCCCTAGAAGCCGAGAGGAACCTATGTGCCAAATTTCAAGTTTGTAGGCTTGACGGTTCTGGAGATTTTGTGATGATGCACGTGGTATTTCACTTTTATATACATATATATAGAAGGAAGGAAAGGAGGGAGGGAGGGAGGGAGGGAGGGAGGAAGGAAGGAAGGAAGGAAGGAAGGAAGGAAGGAAGGAAGGAAGGAAGGAAGGAAGGAAGAAGATAAAAAATACAAAGGTTCTCTCCGTTAATTCACTAAAAAAAAATTGGCAACTCCAAAACTCCCAGCGAGCTTTTTAAAAATGGTGTGTGTGTGTGTGTGTGTGTGTGTGTGTGTTTGTGTGTGTGTGTGTTTGTGTGTGTGTGTGTTTTGTGTATCAGTGTTGCAATTTTTCCCCCTACTTTCCATTCCACCCTCGGAGTGAAAATCAAATGAAAAACTTGCCAAACAAGCGGTTAACCTGTTTTAAAACTTGATAAATTTCTCTGAATTTCCGCAGCTCTCCAGAAGGACGGGTTTGAAAAAGACGCCATCTTCGGGTACCTGGTGGCCGAGGTGCCCCCTGCACAAAAAAGCAAAGAAGGTACAGCAAGAGACCCCCCCCCCGGGGTCCCCTTTATTGGGGTGGGGGAAATGGGGGGGGGGATCCCAGCTCTCGGGAGGATGGGAAAAGGAGGCTGCGTGGCCAGAGATGCTGTGGGAATTGGGGGTGAAGGCGAAGGTGACGCTCCCCCAAAAATACGATATGTCTTATCAACATCATTGGGTTGGTTCCGGTGCCTGAGCAAATGGAAGAGGGTTTTGGCCTGGCTTGTGCCAATTTGGTCTAGTGGTTAAGGTGCCAGGCTAGAAACCAGGAGATGGTGAGTTCTAGATTCACCATAGGAAGGATGGCTGGATGACTTTGGGCCAATCACCAGGAGACGGGGAGTTCTAGTCCCGCCTTAGGCATGAAATTCAATTGGGGGACTTTAGACCAATCACCAGGAGTTTCGCCTTAAGCATGAAAGCCAGCTGGGTTACTCTGAGCCAATCTTCAAGCGACAGGGAGTTCTAGGTCCCGCCTTAGGCAACTGGGTGACTTAGGGCCAGTTACTCTCTCTCGGCCCAACCCACCTCACAGGGCTGTTGTGGGGAAAATAGGAACAGGAAATAGATATATTATGAGGTATATTCACTGCCTCGACTTAGTTGTAAAAACAAAAAAGATGGGATATGAATGGATGAATGGATGGATGACTGACTAGATAGATGATAGACAGACAGACAGATAGCGACAGACATGGATGGATGGATGGATGGATGGATGGATAGATAGATATAGATTAGATAGGTTGATAGATGATACATACATTATAGATGATCGATTAGATTAGATTAGATAGATAGACAGAATGATAGATAACGATAGATGGATGGATGGATGGATGGATGGATGGATGGATGGATGGATGGATAAAATAAGTGCCCCCATCCAGGTCCCTTATGACGCCATTCTGACCCAGAATTCTCTTTATTCTATTCTATTCTTAATTCTATTCTATTCCTATTCTATTCTTAATTCTATTCTATTCTATTCTATTCTATTCTATTCCTATTCTATTCTAAATTCTATTCTATTCTATTCTAAATTCTATTCTTAATTCTATTCTATTCCTATTCTATTCTATATTCTATTCTATTCTATTCTATTCTATTCTATTCTATATTCTGTTCTATTCTATTCTATTCTATTCTATTCTATTCTATTCTATTCTATTCTATTCTATTCCTATTCTATTCTATTCTATTCTTAATACTGTTCTATTCTATTCTATTCTATTCTTAATTCTATTCTATTCTTAATTCTATTCTGTTCTATTTTTCTATGCTATTCCTATTCCTTTCTCATTCCATTCCATTCCACCTTACAAAAACTTTTGAACCTGGTTTCACAACCCGGTTCTCGGAGGCAGAGATCTTAATGCATCACTGGGAAAAAACCCAAGGAAATTCTCGCAATGGGCCACAGAGAGACAGGTGCATTAAATCCACTCCCCACCCCGAGGCCCGTGAATTATGAAGCCGCTGCATTCCTCATCCCCTCAGGCTTTCCCTTCCTTTCTGTTGCCCGCCGTTGACTCTGTTTGCTGTTCCTTTTCCTCTGCAGGACACACCATTGTCGGCTATCAGTTCCACTACCTGACCTACTGCACCTGGGATGGCCCAATCCTCTTCGGCGAAGACCTCTACGTGATGCCGGAATTCAGAGGTAGTGGAGGAATTCGGGGTTACCCTCATCAAGTGGGATCTCTCTATGAAAAGGGAGGAACCCAAGGCCCCTCGTACATTCCTTTTTAGAGTTCACCCAATAGAGAGAGAGAGAGAGAGAGAGAGAGAGAGAGAGAGAGAAAGAG